GCCAGCAATCGGAGGGGTCTGGGGGTCCCCTGCCCAGGCCTGATGCCTGGGCCAGAGGCATCAGGCCTGGGCTGGGGGCAGAACCAGTGATGGGGAAATGAGGGTCCCCTGCCCAAGCCTGGGCAAGGGGCCGATCCTACGATTGGAGGGTGATGGGGGTCAACGCCTGAGGGCTCCCAGTATGTGAGAGGGGGCAGGCTGGGCTGAGGGACACTCCCCCCACACACACACCAAGGGCACGAATTTCGTGCACCGGGCCCCTAGTATCTTATAAGCAGTGAGTTTATTCTTAGAAAGGGATACTTTAAATATACTTGAACTTTTCAAATTCAATATAAAGGCTTTTAAACTTGGTGGAAGATGAAATAATTAAAATTGGACATTGATAGTATTATATAATTGGGACCGTAATATTTTGAAATTCTGTCATTGTAAGATCCTATTAGGCTAACCTTGTCCAACACATTTATTGGCATAATTTATTCTCATTGGCTAGATTTGACTGGTGCGGAATGATCTTAGAAATGAGTTTGAAGTTGTCTTAGTTCATATATTTTTAGCATGTTTTTAAAAAGCTTAAAATGAGTCTATCTGCCAATAGTATTAAAGCTCAGGTAGATGTTATTTGCAAAAATTATTTGTATATAATTTGGAATTTAGAACTGAAATTTTAGAAAGTATGCATCTAGGGTTATATACAGTTTGTTAAAAGTTTTCAACTTGTCCAAATTTCAGTTTTTTCCCTGTGTAGTGAAATAGCTCATAAAATTCAACATTTTAAGAGAATTTATACTGCTTCTTAAAGAAAATCAACTGTATTATGCAAGGCTTTTTTTAACAAGAAAAGAAAATTATTCAGTTTACAAATAATGTTTTCCTTTTTATTATTATTACCCTAATAGGTTTGTGTGCCTCTAATTCAAAGCACAATAAGCATTGATGCTAATGCTTCACCTCAGGGCAGTTCATCTCGACTAGCTACTTCTCCAGGCTTAAGTCCTATGACCCCTCAACACAAAGGTAAGAGATAGTCATACTTGTTTTTTTATCTTTTTTTTAAAAAAAATGCTTTGGCTGATGACTTTGTTCAGTGTTAATCACATGAAGTGAAGGACTTCATAATTTTGGCCCCCCATCACAAAGTCCATAATATATTCTCAGTTGTTAATGTTTACTGCAATAATTGCATTGCATTGTTGTAGTTGGAAAAGATCAACTTTTTCCCAGTACATTATGTGAGGTACATTACAGATAATTGCGTTGGTTTCAGAGCCAATATTTTAAGGGATATTATTAAAAACAACATCCTAAGAGATGTAAGAAATGTGGCTTAGCGTGTACACCATGAAAGAAAGTTATTTGCTATTATTATTTTCTGTTAGCTGTTCTGAGCCAAAATTTTATACTTAAGTTTAAGGAATGCCTGCATAGTAATAATTCAGGCATGGATTAATGCCTGAGAATTATATTCATTTAAATGGAGTGTAACAAATACTCTTGTTCTTAACTTAATATTTAATTGAAATTCTATGGGTTTTAAACAAAAACTTTCAACTCTTATTTGAGAAACACTATTTACATTTGAAGGTACATTTCATTGGAAGGTAGTAACCAATATATTCATTTGGGTAGATAATTTAAGCTTACATAACTTTTTTTTTTGCTTTAAAGGTGCTTCCCCATATGGAGCCTCAGTAACCACCCGGATGAACTTGAGTTCGAATTTTGGTGTAATGGCCACAATCCCCTCTATTCAACTTTTAGGACTTGAAATGTTACTTCATTTTCTGTTGGGTCCAGAAGTTTTAAGTTTTGCTAAGCAAAACAAACTTGTACTGAGCTTAGGTATTTGCTTTAAAAATAATTTCAGTTATTAAAACACTATATAACACAGTTAATTGGAGGTGATTTGATTAGTACTGGAATGATTTTAGAAATGAGTTTGAAGTTTCTTGTTCATATTTTTTTAGTATGTGACTTTTAAAAAGCTTGAAATGAGTCTGTCTACCAGTAGCATTAAAATTCAGGTAGATGTGTCCTAGCCGGTTTGGGTCAGTGGATAGAGCATTTGCCTGTGGACTGAAGGGTCCCGGGTTTGATTCCAGTCAAGGGTACCTTGGTTACAGGCCTCTCCCTGGCGTGGCCCCTGGTCAAGGCTTGTGGAGGAGGCAAGAAATCTATGTATTTCTTTCACATTGATGTTTCTCTCTGTCTTTCCCTCTCACTTATACTCTCACTAAAAAAATCAATGGAAAAAATATCCTCAGGTGAGGATTAACAAAAAGAAAAAAAATTCAGGTAGATGTTATTTGTAAATATTATTTGTGTATAATTTGGAATTTAGAATTGAAATTAATTAGGGTAAATATAGTTTAGTAAAAATATTTTGTAATTATGAAATAAGTAAAAGCGTTTTTAATAGAAAACATGTCAGACCACCTAAAATTTTATATTATGTTTATTTCATAAAGTGGTTTTACAGAGTTGTCTCTTTTTTTGTTCTAGAGCCTCTCGAATACCCGTTAATCAGCAACTCTTCTTTTTTTTCCAAATATGCAAATACACTTATCACGGCTGTTCATGATAGCTTTGTTGCAGTTGGAAAAGATGCTTCTGGTAACTATTTAAGAGAAGTTTTTAAAATTATTTGTTCAAAAAGCAAATAAAGTAGCAAATAGTTACATAGTGTCACCTATTATCTAGATTGTGTTGTAAGATATAGTTCATTTAATCTGCAGAGCAATCTTCTGTGTTAGTCAGTTTTGCAGATGAGGAAATTCCATTGTTCTGTAAGTAAATAACCTGTGCAAAGTCACCTAGTAAATGGTAGAGCCATGAATCAAGCCCAGACTCTATTACACCACCATCTACACCTAAACTCCTTTATTCAATAGCCTATCAAATGAAGAGAAGAAATTTCATAAATAACATAGTGTGCTATTTAATTGGCTTGGGAAATATTTTTCTAGTGGTTTTTAGGTATTCTGATCTTTGTTTTTTGTTCTCTCAAAAGTTTGAGATATTGAATACAGAAAATACAGGTGAAGGGGGAAAATAAGAATTAACTATAGTTATATGACCCGGTGTTAATATGGTACAGTCCTTAAAAAAACAAACCAACTACATTTATTGCTTTAACAAAAATAAGGTGATAGTATTTTATAAACTGATTAATTATAAAGTTGTGTATTACAAGGAAAATTATATTCTAAATTAAGTATTGCTCAATTTCTTTAGTATAAGGATGAGAGGAGTGCCATTATAGTCACATCTTCTTTGTTCTAAAGTACTTTACGTTTTATTTTGACAGATGCAGTTGTCAGTGCTATTTGGAAAGAGCTAATTAACTTGGTAAAGTTAGTTATTGAATCAGGTAAGCACCATAATACTGATCAAATTATTTTTATAGCACTCAGTGAATTATTTGGCTTTTATATATAACACTAGAGGCCCGGTGCACAAAAATTTGTGCACTTGGGGGGAGTGGGGGGGTCC